GAGACCTGCGCTGCAATCTTCACACAGGTCAGCAGACTGGGCTGCCATGCTGATAACATGGGCGTGAGGGTTTGCTTATCTTTCCTTAGATAATGAAGAAACACCCTATGGCTGCCATTCTGATGCGTGTGACCATGGAGCACCCTGGGCCAGACCTACCACAATGGCTCTCATCCCACGCTGGCAGGAAAACCGGGTGCTGTTGCTGCACCACGTCAGGCATTGGAGGGACAACTCTCTCCTCAGCTAATTAGCTAGACAGCCCTGGAGGAGACGAGGGATGAAGCATGCTGCTTGACTTTCCTCCGTGAGGGTTTGGCCATGCTTGCCATCACGGCTGCTGCAGTGTGTTCCATCTGTCTAGGCAATGGAATACGGGCCTAATTATCTTCCTTTGAGGCTAGTTTCCTGGAAGGCTCAGGCCCCAGCGATTTTCCATTCACTACATAGGACTTTTCTACAGGTGACAGTTTTGCTGGGATCTCAAGTTTACTTTTTGTTTTGTTCATCCACACCTATTTTATCTCTTACCCTTTCTCTCTTTCCTACTGTGCACTGTAATCCCGGCAGGAGGTTGGTGGCTCACCGCAGGCATCCCTGACAACTGGTGCTGTGGAAAGGGTGACTAATACCTAGCGCCCATCATGGGGAGCTAGTTATTGGAGACCCTTGCAGTGAGTCCCTTGCTTGAAGTTATGGCGTATGCAGGGAGGAAAGAGCAAGAGACAAAAGAAAGATGGAGGCAGGGATCTGGGATGACCAGTTGATCTTGGGGAGCAAAAGGTCACAAGTCACTCAGAATCTTGGTATCTATTCATTACATCTGAGTCAGGAACAATGGGTGAAGGGCAGTGGGTAGCGGGAACAACGATGGTGTCATAGTGGACCTGTGAGAAGGACAAAGCATTCTTGCAAGGACAAGGCATTCTTGCAAAGACAAGAATGGGGGGCAATGAAGAAACTGTAGTTTCCCCAGATGCCTTATCCTTTATTATTATTATTATTATTATTATTATTATTTTATGTATTTAGTACAGGGTCTATAGGGCCCTCCTACACAGATCAGACTCTTAGTGAGATCCTCCTGTTTTCAGCCTCCCAAGTGCTGGGATTATAGTTGCGCACCACCACACCATCTCAATCAGTATCTCAGCATGCCCCCTAGCACAGCATGCCAGGGATTGAACTCTGGTCCCTGCTTGTGCCTAAGCAGGAACTTTGATCTGCTGAGCTATCTGGCCACTCCCCTCATCCTCTTTAGAGGGTCCAGTGGCCACGAAAGTCCTTATCTTGCCCTGTGAGCACCACAGCAATCATTGTCCCTAAGACTTTCAGCTGTGACCAGAAAAGAACAGGGAATTTCCATATTCCAATCTGGCTCAAGGGCAGGACAAGAGCAGCATGGTGATTCCCTAGACTCAAATCTCTAATTCTCGGTTCCCAACATTCTTCTAGGCATGTCTATCATTTCTGTTTGTCTTTTCCATTTTCTACCAAGCTCAGTGACTGTTTCTGCTGGGTATCACCATGTCTCCCAGGTTCTCCCAGGTCCGTGCTCTACAAAGCATTGCTTCTGTACCCGCTAGGCACTCTCCTGCCCGCAGGCACTGCTGACTTTGCCAGACTGTGCTGCTGCCTCTCTGGTAATATCCTTGGTGGCATCTACCACCTAACAATGCTACTTTTCCAGGTGATACCTGTCCCACCCTTTCCTCCGGCAGCCACAAAAGTCTTTCTCCACCTGCTGCCACCTCTGCAGTTGCTGTTGCTAACATGCACACTGATGCACTGGAATCCTGAGGCCATGCCTAAGGAAAATGGTGAGTTATGGTGCGCTTCCTGGGGTACATTGGTTCCTCTGGGAGCTATAATCCATAAATATGGAAATACGGGATTAGACTATTAATGAAAGTTAACAACTGAAAATGCATCAGTTGACAAATGATAATTTGAAAGTCATCTACATATCCATGATAATTAAAACTGTGAATGTACAAGCTCCTCAAATATTTAAAAATAAAAAGAGAACTGGAGACAAAGTTTGAATAGAAGCAGCCAGAAAGAAAGGATCAATGAGTCATAGAAACCTCTAAGAACAGCATCCTAGGAAATGAAGCTTTAATCTTCACTGTGGATGATGAGCTGTCCCTCTGATATAATTAAAAACAGTAACATATTGTGAGGAAAAGCACTCTAGACTAGTGAACAGGAAGTCTGGACTCTAACCCAACTTAGTAAACTTGCTCTGCAGTCCTAGGGTGAACCAGTTCCCATCTTTGGATTTCAATTTCCTCATCAAAAGGAACCAGAGAATTCAGTTCTTTCAGCTTTATGATTTTATGAATGACATACAGGAAGTTAAAATGTTTACAGTTCATAACCATTCACACTTTCCCTCCAAAATTCCCACAGCCCTGTCACAGATGTTTAGTGACCTTACAAAAAAATAGGAGATGTTAGATACGGACATACCTTCCTAGAAAAAAGTATAGTGCTTCAAAAGTCAAAGTTTCCTGGTCTTCACTACTGGACTATGTTTACTATAATTTTATGAAAGCCTCTCGACATTTTTATTACTGGAAAATACTAATATGAACTATGAAATCTAGCTTGCTGTAATAAATTACAAGGCTCATTACAAAAGTATCCCACTTATAAGAAGATTATTTATTTTGGCATTGGGGATTGAACTCAGGATCTTTCTTGGGCTTGCTAGGCAAATGCTTATGCTGTTGAGCTACCTCCCAGTCTTCTTTTTCTGTTTTGCATTCTAATTCATTCATTATGTTTGTACAAGTGTTACCATGTAGTGGGTAGGTATAGCCCAGGCTCTTGTATACAATGAGCAAAGAACTGCCCAGAGTACACGCAGTAGCATGTGATAAGCAGCTACATTCATTGAAGATCATGGAAAGTTGTGCTCAGGGCAACTTTGTATTGACAAAAGATATGGCACAGACAGAAAAGTGGTGCTGGATGACAGGAGAACAGAGAGCCGCATGTGGGTCTGGGTCACGGGACACAGAAGTAGTGACAGCAGCCCCCAACAAGTCAGCCTTTTGGAATTTAAAGGATATGGACCTTAGCCCAGGGGACTTCCCCCGCATCTCTAGGTGTGATTGCCAGGAATGATGCCAGGGCACTGTGCCATCTCAGGAGCTCTCCACACACACGCTTATCCCAGAATTCACTCAGACCTTCATGACGTTCTCAGGAAATGTAGCACATATTTATGAACCTTAGTGAGGTAGCAGTAGGGAAAGGGCGACTGCAGGGTCAGCGCAGGAGACTGAACAAGCCTGAGCTCTCAACTAGAGCATCAGAGCTCTCCTAAGATTTTGTTACTTTATTTTCTACCTCTCTTAGGACAATGGAAAGAGGAATGGCTATGTAAAATTAAACAGATAGAAGGTAGTGACCTCCTCAAATCCACTGTTTCTAACTGTACTACAAGGGTAAAAATAATGCTGTTATACTGAGAAGGAACACTCTAGTGTTGTTATTAATGATACTAAGTTAATAACATTTTTAAAATATCCTCCTAGTATAGTCTCTCCTTTAGTCCAAGCTCCATTGTACTTACCACCAAAAGGACTAGTTCCATTGTGTGAAATGGTAGACAATTTTCAGAGTGATTTTCTGTAGTTACCAAGCTCAGATTAGGCTGAAACACGGTCTCTTAAAATTTAACTACCAAGCTCTCGGCAGTGTTCTGTTCAAGTCTCTATCAGTTGGCCACTGGGTGTGCAGCAGAAGGCTGAAGAATCTGCAACAGAAGCTGAAGAGTCTGTGATGGAAAGCTGAAGGATCCGAGCCAGAGATCAAAGAGTCTGTGCCGAAAGCCAGGAGATGAAGTCCAAGTCGGCTGTGAAGACAGAAGTTCCCCGTAGGAAGTGGAATACCTAATTCTTCCTCAACCCCTTTGTATACCCTTTTGTGCTGAATCACAAAAATGGTATTTTTTGTGCATAGTAAAACTCTTGAAGAAATTCTTGTGGACAAAGATTTTATTCATAAAACCCTGACCATACAGAATCTATCACAAAGAATCCACAAATGGGATCTCATCTTACTGAAAATCTTTTGCACAGCAAAAGAAACCACCAACAGAATAAAAAGATAACTCACACTGTGGCAAAAAAGTGTTTGCCAGCTGTTCCTCAGATAAAAGATTACTATCAAGAACATATAAAGAACTCAAAAAAATCAGACCTCTCAAATTTAAAGACCTAATCCAAAAATGGGCACCTGAGATGAATACACATTTCTCAGATGAAAAAAAATATAAACAGCAAATAAATACACAAAAAATGCAAAATAGGATAGATATACACCTACTTTCTCTTAATTCAATGAGAAGAAAGATTTGTACTGATACTTTTTGGACAGGCTATCATGTCTGCATCTTGTACTATGAATAACCACTACAAAGACAACAATATGCAATGTATTCATTATTGAAACTGTCCCACTAATTGGCTTTGAAACTGTCTCATTGCTATTTATTTCTCAATAAGATTAATTTTTAAAAAATTTTAATTAATAAAAATTAATTTTTAAAAATATCTGGTAATTTAAGAAATGCAAATTAAATCAATGCTGAGATTCCATCACTCCATGGGAAGCATGGCTCTTATCAAAAAATAAGCAATAACAAATGGTGGAGAGGCTGTAGGGGAAAAGAAACCCTTCTGCACTGTTGGTGGGAATGCAGACTGGTATAACCACTGTGGAAGTGAGTTTGGAGATTCCTCAAAAAGACTGGAAGTCCCATTTGATCCAGCTATTCCCCTTCTGAGTATTTTCCTTGAAGAATTAAAAACATCATGCCACAGTGATGTATGTGCACCTATGTTTGTAGCACACAATTGTAGCACCTTGGAAACAACCCACATGCCCATCAACTAAGGAATGGCTAAAAACAAGTGGTCTTTTTATATAACAGAGTATTACTCAGCCTTAAAGAAGGATAAACTGGAGACCTTTATAAGTAAATGGATGCAACTGGAGACCATAGTCATCAGTGAAATAAACCAGACACAAGTGTGTAAACATTACATTGTCTCCCTAGTGTGAGAAGCTGAAAGAGTAAGAAAGTTTCAAAATGTATAATAGATATTATAAAATGGGAAAAGTCTTCAAAAAGAAAAAGAAACTGGGTTGGGGGAATGGAGAAAAGAAGGAAGGGAAAAGCAAAAGGGGGAATATCTATCTATCTATCTATCTATCTATCTATCTATCTCAGGTTGTTATACTACTAATTTCTCTCAGTTCATTACAAAAAGAGGTTTGTGATAATATTGTTTGAGCAATTGTTTGCTGATGTTTTGTACTCTGAGTAAATAATTGAAAGATAACAATAAACAATGCATTAAGCAAAAAATAAAATGAAATTTCATTACCTACATCTATTTTGATTTTATTTATAATTGCACACAATCACTACACATGATGTGAGTGAACAACTTGAAAAGTTTTGAAATAAGCACATCAATGAAACTTATAAACATGGAAGTGAACATATCTATCCCACCCAAAGCTCGCTTTGTCTCAATAAATCTCTCTTACATAACCACATAACCTCCTTTGTACCTTTCTTACAAAACCTCCTTTGTCCTTGAATCCATTCTTTTTTTTTATTTTTATTTTTTAATCCATTCTTCAATATAGGAAGACATCAACTTGGCATGAACTTGGCACATCTGACTTCTTTATTTTTTTTTAAACAATTTTATTGAGAAACAAATAGCAATGAGACAGTTTCAAAACCAATTACTAGCGGTTTCAATAATTCATACATTGCATATTGCTGTCATAGTGGTTACTCTTTGTATAAGATGCTGACATGATATCCTGTCTACAAACACTATTAGAACAAATCTCTCTATCCACTGAATTAAGAGAATGCAGTTGTATACCTGTCCTAACTAACATCTGACTTCTAACAGGTTGGGGAATTACTTCAATAGGACCTTGTTGAACTTCATTAGAGTTTTTTTTTTGGAATTTACTAATTGCTTATACATCTCTCTCTTTTTTAAAAAAAATGTATCTTGTGCAGGGTCTCACTATGCAACTCAGACTTGTAGTGATCCTCCTGTTTTTAGCCTCCCCAGCACTGGAAGGTGGGTGTGCACCACCACACCCAGTCTCAGGGGCTGGCTCAGGGCACCCAGGGGCAGGGCTGGCACTGGGGATCGAACCCTGGTCCCTGAGCTTGCCTAAGTAGGTCCCTGAACTACCTCCCTGGCCTTCATTTATACATCATTTTTAAGTCCTTTGTCTTTTCATTGTTTGCATACTTATTAAATATTCAAAGTCTGAACTACTGTTGGCTGGGCACTGCACTGTTTGTCAGGGAGACATTGGTGTAAAGGTAGATGGAGGTCTTACTCTCTTACCAGGCAGTTTAAAATGAGTTAAAAACACAGGCTCAGGGGTCAGTCAGCTTGTTTCAGTGTGGCTCTGCTCCTTACTCCTTTGACCTTGAAAAAAATTAATTGACTTTTTAAAGCCTGTTTCTTCACTGGTAAAATGAAATTATTATTACCTGCCTCACAAAATTGTTGTGAAGATTAAATTAGGATTTTAAAGTCCTTAGAACAGTGTTTGGCATATAGTAAATGGTCAATAAATATGATCTGTAATTAGAAGTCCGGATTAATTGTTCATCTAGTGAACCTATAAATTATTATAGGCAGCCAAGTGAGAAATTAATATACAGTTAGAGAGGGATGGGGCTCTCAAGGAAGTCAGCAAAAAACATAAAGCCATCAGAATTGTGGCTGGGGGCCAGGGAGATGGCTCAGTGGAATAAGCGCTTCCCTGGCAAGTGCAAGGGCCTGAGTTCAATCCTCAGTTTTAAAAAAAAAAGTGTGGCTGGAGGTGCATCTGAAGAAGGTCAGGCCTCAAGATAGAGACCCAGTGGCCAGGCCTACACTGCTTACCTAAAGGGCAAACAATAACTTGAGATTATACTGTGATTAGCACCATTTGGTCCAGCAGGCCAAATAGGCATCTGTTGCCCAGAAAACATCTTTATTCTTTTCACATACTCTGCTACATGTCTCTATTGGATCAACATTAGCTAGGCAGCTGTACTTATAATCCTATATGTTGATTTTAGTTTGATATATATTGTACCCACATGGGGACTTTATTGTATAAATTATCCCTCAACATTGAGGAAGAGGGCTCAACAGCCACCTTCCTCAGGACCCCTCCTGAGAGTCTAAGAGCTAGCCTTCCCTTCTTGCCTTCAATAAAACTCTCCTAACTCACTTCTTTGGTTTGCGACTTCATTTCTCTGTGTTCTGGAATCATAAACTCAGCACACTGACATCTAGTTATATTTTTCCTATACCAAAACGTCTGATAAAAGATGGCTATCAGTGTCCAAACATCAACAAGTTTAATTTGGCAATTTAGCTTAGCTGCTAAGAATGGAGGCAATAGTGTCAGCCTGCCCTTGGCTTAGATCTTTGCTCTGCTGTGTTGTGGCTGCGTAACTCTAAGCAAACTACTTAAAGAAAAGCAGTGCCTGCAACATGCCTTAATACAGTATCTGGAACACAACAGATGCTTAAGAACTATTGATTGCAATGTCCTGAAAAGCAATAAAATGGCCAACATGTGTTCCTACAATACTAACTGCAACTATCATCTATTAGTATAGGTTCTGGCCCTAGTATGAATTGTTGCATCATGACGGTGGTCATCTAACGTGGCTGGAGCCCCAAAACAACAGTTTATCCTCTCAGTGACCGCTTCCCCTTTCTTTCCCCAACCCACTCCTGGATACAGTTTCCTCTCACCTCTCCCCTGCACACAGGAGAGGCCCCGTCAGCTCCTTAGGTGTCACTAAACCTGCCCCTCAAGCTCCTTCCCTAGCCAAGGACCATCACAGCCTCAGCTTTCTTTGTCTCTGGTCAGAGGATCTCCCCCCCTGTGCCCTCAATCCTTCCCGTGTCTTTGGCGTTAATAAAGGCTTCTTTCATCCTTCCTGTCTCTTTACTGCGCCGCCGAAAAACCTAACAATCAAAGCTTACCCTTCGGGCCCCTGTGTGCTATCCACGTTCGAAATTCTCTTTCTTACTAGCAGCCCCACAGGTAACCACAGTCCATCCCATCCCATTTCAGCACAGAGAAACAAGATAATCTCCGCCTCGCCATCTGTGATCCAAGAGAGGTTGGAGGCTTAGGAGGTGGCTTGGAATCCAAGCCTCGGCCAAACCAGCCTTAGCAATGTGGCCTCCATGACAAGCTGGAGCTGTCCGGAAGAGTCCGGCCCTTGGCCTAGGTCACCATCCCTGGGCGCCCAAAAAGCTCCGGCGTGCGGTGCTCTACTGTCAGTAGACAAGGCGCCGGAGGGGCGGGGCTCCACGTCGGGGCGGAGCCAGGGGCTGTTGCCGGGCAACGCGCCGCGGGGCGGGGCTTTGCGTCACTGAAGTGCGACTGTGTCGCCCACCGCCCCGGCTCTGCCCGCGGCCCTGAGCGGCCGGTGGAGCGGCGTTGCTGCAGTCGGGACCACGATGCCGTGAACCTGTGGTGAGCTCCGCAGCGCCGTCCTCCCGCCGTGTCCGCCGCTGCACGCCCTCGGCCGTGACCGCCGAGCCCGGCTGCCCTTTCCAGGCCGCGGCTTGGGGCGCGGGGCCGGCTCGGGAGGCCCCGCCGCGGGCGCCGCCTCCATCCGGCGGCTTCAGGGTAGTCGGAGACGAGGCGGTGGGTCCCTCTTCGGGGATGGTGCTGGAAGCGGGGAGAGAGGTGTTCCTCCGGGAGCCTAAAACTCCGTTTTGAATATTGCCGCCGGCGCAGTCCGTGGGCCGCCGGGCTTGGGGTTGGTGAAAACTGCAGGTTCCTTGGGGAGGACGCGGGCGACGACGCAGGAGCGAGCCGTTGGGCTCAGCCCCGCGAGAAGGGGCTCCGGCGCAGAGCCGAGTCCTTGTCTTAAGAAGCCCACCCTGCTCTGCCACGCGGGCTTTGCTGGGTGCTGTTGACGTTGATCCCCCGCCCCCTTGCTAATCAAGTGGCAGTGTACGTTGGTTGTCAAGATCCCCGTCTGTTCCGCGCTGTCCAGCGTTTTAATTTCTCTCCCCACCCCCACCCCAGCCGCACTTCTAGTTGTTTCTAATTCTCACGTCGACAGCACAAAGTCCGGTTGCCGTTCAGCCCCACCCGTTCTTCTTGCTATAAAGGCAGCTTCATATATCCAGAATTTTGCCTGGGGCATGAGCTGCTGATCAGCTCCTGAGCCATAATTAGTCGCCTTCACCTGGAAGTCACCCCTCTGAGAAGTGATGCTTTCATAATTCACAACTCAAAAATAATTTTTCCCTTTCTGTGTTGCCTGGCTTCGGATTCTAAATACTTTCCTCCCAAGTATGACCATATCGCAAAAAAAATTGTTAGTTCTTTGTTGTTTGATGTAAATGAATTGGATCCCTCTTTGGTTCTTGTCTAAGTACACATTTCCTTTCCCCTTCTTGTTCTGAAAAGGAGAGAATGTCCAAAGAGAAGTTTTGCAAGTTTAGTGTCATTTTCCTAAATATTTAGAAAAGCATTTCAGAAGCACACTCATGCTGTTAGAAACCCACTTGATTCTTTCTTCCCCCACATGATTCTTAATACAATGCTGTAGTCTTGATTTTTTAAAATAAGCGCTTTGATTGCAGAATAGCCTTTGTTTTTTTTGTTTTTTTTTTGTTTTGTTTTTTTGTATTTTAGGACAGTGTCTACAGGGTCTCACTATGTAGATTGGACTCATGATGATTCTTCTGTTTTCAGCCTCCCAAGCGCTGTGATTACAGGTGCATGCCACCACACCTAGTGTCAATCCAGTCTCAATTGCCATTTTAGCGCGCCTGAGGGTCCAGGCCATTGGGCTCTGCCTAAGCAGGCACTAGTCTGCTGAGCCATCTGACTGGCCCTTAGAATAGCCTATTTGTTTCATTCTGGATCTGTTACAGTTATTCATTTCCTGTCTTGCAAAATAGCTGATACCTACTCAAAGACAGTTTGAGTAAGCAATGAAAATAAATAGTATCCTTAGGGACTTAGCTGTAGTACTTAGTCTAATAGATTACTGGGGTTACCTCAGCACACCCCAGGAGCAGGGCTGGCATGGCACGCTGGGGATTGAACCCTGGTCCCTGCTTCTGCCTAAGCAGGAGAAATACCTTTTTTATAAATGAATTTGATACAGAATTTGTTGGGGGTTGAGGAGATAACTGGCAGCCTAAGCACCTGCATGTCAAGCACAAGGTCCAGATTTTGATCCCCAGCACTGCTGTGCTGGGAATGCCAGGCACACTATGCTGGCCTTGAAATTGGGCATGTTGGTGCATGCCTATAATCCTCTCATTAGGAAGGCTGAGACAAGAGGACCCCTAGGAGTCCGAACTGCATAGAAAGTACCCTGTCTCAAAAAAAAAAAAAAAAAAAAAAAAAAAAAAATTGTTGTATGTCAGAGAGTTTCTAAATTCTTGTCAACTACTTATTCTATGGTACTTGGAGACTTTTCAATTTCACTTGATTCCTTTATGAATAAATTATAGTTTAAATTTTCAGTTTTTTTTTGTGGGTTTACTGGGTTAGCAGTTATCCATCAGTGATTGCTACATTTTTATAAGGAATATTTCAACTATAAAAATGTATTTGTTTAAAAGTGATAACTGTACCACCCACTGAGAATGTGGCATTTTTGGAATCCTTGATGTTCTAGTGAGTTTCAAAATAACAGTTCTTTATTCAGAAAACCCTTCAAGTGTTTTGTTTTGTTTTTTTTTTGTATTTTAGGGAAGGGTGTACAGGGTGTTTAGGGTCTCACAACTAGATTGGACTCTAGTGAATCTCCTGTTTACAGCCTCCCAAGAGCTGGGATTACAGGTGTGGACCACCACACCCAGTCTCAATCGCTGTTTTAGCACACCCTGGGAGCAGGGCCAGCTTGGCAGGCCTAGGGATTGAACCCCCAGCTCCTGTGCCTGCTTGCAGGCACTTTAATCCGCTGAGCTATTTGGCCGGCCCTTGAAGTGTTTTTTGAAAGCACATTTCTATCCTGCTAGGAAGGACTATGTTCTAGGTAACATGATAATTTGAGAACTGCTGGTTATTTTAAGAAATCTCTACTGATTTGACTTTTGCTGGATTTTATGACAGTGATTTGCAAACTTCCTATAGGATATACTACTGTTAAGTATATTTAGAAGAAAGCATTTTGTTAATATCATTTATTTATTTATTTATTTATTTAATTTTATTTTGTGGAACTGAGGATTGAACTCAGGCCCTTGCACTACTTGCCAGGCAAGCACTTATTCTACTGAGCCATCTCCCCGACTTGTTGATATCAAATAATTACTATTTCCCAATTTCCATAAACATTTATAATTACTTTTTATAATTTTACATTTCTCCTTCCGTTAACTTCTACTTCCTTCCACATAAGTGCTAATAGATGCCTGAACAAAATAACGAGTCAAAAGAATTCCAAGTGAAGAGTAACCCAAAAGTTGTCAACAGTATTTACCCTGATCATTCAGAAAATATTATGTCTTGTGTATCTTCTGGAAGCAAGATCACAGCTAAATAGCGGGAAGAAATCATGGAGGGGAACAGACAATGGGTGGAATGTGCTGTGACAGAAAAAGCTGTGGCGGGTGACTTTAGGATGGTGCTAACAGACTTTTCATGAATTTATACTCCTGGTATGTAAGTTGTTTGTAATTTGTATTTTTACACTAGACATGGATGTATTTATCAATCTTTTATTGTTTCCAAAATAAGCTGTAAATTTAAGGCCTTTCCTTCTGAACTCTTGAGAGTCACTGTTCCTGTGCTTACGTAGTCTCTAAATAATGTTACATCTACTTTTTTTTTTTTTTTTTTTTTTTTTTGTACTGGGGATCAAACTCAGGACCTTGCGCTTGCCAGGCAGGCACTTATGTTGCTGAGCTACCTCCCTGGCATCATGTTACATTTTAATGCAAGGAGACACTAATAAGATATCCTGGGTACGAAGTGCAATTAAAGGAAAAGAAGCAAATATGCAGCCTAACACAATAAACTTTATTGTATAAAAGTAGGAGGGCTGAGGGCCAGCCAAATAGCTCAGTGGGTTAAAGTGCCTGCGAGCAGGCTCAGGGCCAGAGGTTCAATCCCTGGGCCTGCCTGTTGACCCCACCCCCAGGGCCTGCTGAGAAGGAGAGTGATACTGGGCGTGGTGGCAGGTGCCTGATATCCCTGTACTTGGGAGGCTGAAAATAGGAGTCTGATCTATGCAGTGAGACCCGGTACACCCTGTATGTGCTAAATACATTAAAAATAAAATAAAAGTAGGTACCAGGTTAAAAAAATGCCTTGGACTCACTTCGTAGTCCAGGCTGGCCTCCAACTCTCAGCTATCCTCCTGCCTCAGCCTATATGTTGATTAGATTATCATTACAAGTTTACATTAAATATTGAGGTTGTATTTCTAACATGTCTTTTTTTTCTCTGTTAATCATTGTGGATGTATTTCAGTCTGGTTGATAAGAATGTTATTGGGAAAACAAAAACCCTTAACTGGATTTTGATTGAGTTGATACAGGGAAATTGAGGAAGCTTAAATTTAATTTGGAGTACTATAGTAGGTTAGAGATTAACTACTTCACTACCCTCTCAGGCAAAAATTTTTATTCCACTCATGAAATGAACCTTTTATCTTTACCTAAACATTTGCATACATCAGTGAACATTACACCTACCCTTTCTACTCTGGATGTTGAGACATTGCTATATTAAACTGGTCTGCCTCTCTAACTTATGTTACTGGCCATTTGGCTCTAGCTGTGGAATATAAAGCTTGCTTCCTCTTCCACATGACAGCTCTTCAAATATTTGAACAAACTGTTGTGCCATATTTTCAACAAGCTGTGCTATCGTAGGATAAGTCACTTTGTTTTGTTTCTAGACACGTGATAGCTGGAATATTTGCTGATTTAATACCCCTTAAAATTCTTACTGCTTAGACCCTCAGCATGGTCAAACCATTACAGAGCAAAAGGAGCTAGTTCTCCTTGCCCTGAACATCTGCTTTTAATAAGTCCAAGATTACTTTAGGGTCATTAATGCTCCATTATGCTGTTGACTTGTTTGCTGAAAAACCTTGGACCTTTCCTGTTTTAACTGATGTTAAGTACATAAAAAGGCTTAAGTGCTTTTCTGGAAGAATTTATTCTGATACCATATGCTAGGTGCTTTTGTGCATTTGGCTTTTCAAAATATAGTCAGGGGCAGGGAGATGGCTCAGTAGAATAAGCGCTTGCCTGGCAAGCACAAGGGCCTGAGTTCAATCCCCGGTTCCGCCAAAAAAACATAAGAATTAACTTTTTGTAGTATTAAATTTAATTTTTAGCAAGTCAGTACCTATTCTAGTCTTAAAATAGTGAATATTACTCCAACTTTGGACCTCCACAGACAGGGCAGGCAGGCAATACAATCTTGTCTTCTTCAGGTCATCAATAAAAATGTTAAGTGTCCCACTTGTTGGTGCCAGTCTACCCTTTCCTTTTGCCTCTCTGCCTTTTTTTGTTTTGTTTTGTTTTGTTTTATTACCACCTCAGAAGTGCCGTGATGCCTCCTATCTCAGGCACTTTCTGTAACCTCAGCCTGCAAAGTTCACTTACCGTGTCCCATCTCTCCCTCTCGCAAACCCTTACTGTCCTCAACTCAAATCAGATGTTTGCCCAGGGACTTCTTCCCTGACACAAGACTAGACTAGGTCAGGTCCCCCTCTTATAGGTTTTCATAACAACCTGTACGTATTTGATTTCATATTTCTCAGTTTGTAATTGTATGCGTTCTTGTGTGATTACTGTCTTTCCCACTGTGTTGGATGCTCCTGGATGGCTCACAGGAGCATCCAACACAGATACTCTGATTTTTTTAAATAACCATGTAAGAATAAATCCTTATTATGGATTGTATCTAGGTGTGCCCCCCCACTGGCCAAAGCCTCATGTAGTCATGGGGTGGACTTGTAGTTCATGATCCAAGGCTGGGATTATGGGGGTGAGTGCTGCACCCCAATAGCCTGACTTCAGTATAAAGAAGGGAATGCTTGCTCTTTGCCTCTGCTCCTGCTTTTCTGCTCTTGCTGTTTCACTGTTTTCCACCACCATCAACTGCTGCTGTTATGGTTTGTGTCTAGGTGTCCCCCCAAAGCCTCATCCAGTCATGGGGCAGCTTCTGAAGTTTGTGATTGATTAGTGTGGATGCTGTGGGTGTGCATGCTGCACCTACCCTGGGGCAGGAAATTTGCATCACAATGTAAGGTGGGAAGAGAAGCTAGCTGCTTAAGCTGCTGCTACTCTCTGTGCTCTTGCTTTTTGCCACTGCCATGAAAGGTTGCCCTCTGCCATGTGCCACTCTGCCTTGGAGCCAGCTGACTATAGACTGAACCCTCCAGTAACTGTGAGCTAAATAAACCTTTCCTTCCTTCATTTTGGGTGTCGGGTATTTGTCCCAGCAATGAGAGAAGAGTAACTGAGACAGCTGCCCTCTGCCTTTTGCCACCCTGCCTTGGAGCCAGCCAAGTATGGACTGAAATGAAACTTCCCCCAAATGTGAGCTAAATAAACCTTTCCTTCCTTGATTCTGGGTGTGAGGTATTTTGTGCCAGCAACAAAAGAAAAGTAACTGAGACAATCCCTAACACTCATCTGCAGCTGTTTGCGCCGAATATTTTTACAGCTATGGATGAAGCAAGAGAAATGACGCCAGTATATAGTTTTAATGTGTGTGTATGTAGGAAGTGTCAGAGCGCAGCTACTGCCTTTCTGGGAAGGACTTTCATTCTCATATATCCTGTAATATGGATAAGTTTGAGGGCTTTTTTTTGTTTTGTTTTGTTTTTGAAAACTGTCCTTTCTTAAGAAGAAGTGCACAATGCCATGGTGATTTGGGATGTTATTAGTTTGTGACATTTAGAAATCACCAACTGTGAATGACCCGGACTTATCCTCTAAGCAGCTTGTTTAATTGCTTCTCTTTGGATATAGTTGCTATAAGTCTGTTTGTCTGTATTTAAAATATACAATTTTGCTTTGAAAAACATTTTTAGTAGCCGAAGTCTTCCTTAATTTCTTTTTATTTACATCTCTACTGTGATATTTATTGTTGCCAAGTAGGCTCAGATTCAAAGTGGTAATTTAGGAGTTTTTGTTACATTGTACTTTTCACATATTTAAAGTAACTAAAAATAAACCTCAACTATAGTACATTAAACTTCAATACCAAAAGCAAAATTTTCACACCTTGGTCACTGTATTTTAAAACTTAGGCCAGGGAGATAGCTCAGTGGTATAAGTGCCTGCCTGGCAAGTACAAGGTCCCGAGTTTGATCGGGTTCCACAAAAATAA